ACAGCAGTGTTCAAGTCAAAACTGCACAGCTGCAGAAAAAACTTTACAAAAGCAAAAAAATGTCCAAATATGAGAAAGCAGCTGGAATTATTTGTTTGTTTGTTTGTTTGTTTTGTTAGGAGGGAAATTTGAATATCTGCGATGGACTGGCGGACTGTCCAGGGTGTACCCTGCCTCTCGCCCGTTGACCACTGGGATAGGCTCCCGTTCCCCCCGCGACCCCATGAGGGAATGAGCGGTATTGATAATGGATGGATGGATGGAAATTTGAATATATCACATTGTCATGATGCAGAAAACAGCCATGAACAGCAGTTGTATAGGACTTCACACACACTCTGGTTACAGTAAATCTGCCTGACTGGTGAGAAATGCAAATTGTTTTTTGAGATATGAGAATCTTTTCAGGATCTCTTTGGTGGTAAACAAAGGGACAGTTTTTCAGTTTTTCCTTGTGTGTGTGTGTGTTTGTGTGTGAGAGAGAAAGAGAGAGAGAGAGAGAGTGAGAGAAAGACAGAGAGCGAGAGGAGAGGCATTTTCTTGCTGTTCAGACAGTGGTCTTTGGAAGAGGGATCATTTGAAATTCAGCCATTGTACATTGTGTTTAGAAGTACCAGATTCACATCAGGAAATCTTAACCCCAGTCAGTGCTTTTGAATCTTAAATGGGCAGTTGTTCCTTTTCTAATGACCATATTTTAGAGAATCTCAGTCTTTAATATGTTTGTGTTTATGTACATGCGTGCATGATATTGCAATTTTATTACTGTCCACTTTTTATGTGGGTAATTTTCCAAGGTACTCTGCAGATTTAGCAGGAAAGTCTGTCGGTCTGAAGTGTTTCCTCATATTTTGTCCTCCTTGTGTTCATCTAAAGTCTCTTTCCTGTATTCAGAACATTAAAATGATGGAAAACCTGCTTGTTGACTAGGACTATGATCGTAAGTGGGTGGGACTGCATGTTTGTGCTGTTTACATCATTATCATCTAAGTTCTGCATATTTTTCTAAAGGAAACCACACAAACATTAAATGACACTGCTGCCAATTCCTGTCACTCACTTGAGAAGTGGCTTTACCCCAGACAGATACTTGTTAATCAGGATGCCTTAGGGCACAGCAACACTTCCTGAAAGCGCAAGATCAGCTTGATCACTCTTAACATACACTGCAGTGTGATGATTACCAAACAATTACGCCAATTAAATGTTACCGACAGATTATAGAACCCAGGAAAGAAAAAGACAATTCCATCACCTTTTTAACCAAATAAAGTTGGTGTTGTCTATCTAATTTAATCATTTCAACTGATAGTACGCAAAGATCCTGCATGTGACGTACATGAAGGCATAAAGTATTGAATATTTTCTATTCTGTACTTGAGTTTTATCTTCTTGTCTGACATTGGACAAAACAGAGCTTATTAGGACAGCTTTGACAGACGGAATAGAAAGTACACTCGGGTATACCTGCACCAGAAGCATCTTCATACCTCTCAGTAAGAATTAACATTAATATAGAATGGATATTAAATATTTAATTAAATATATAATGGAACAGTATCTTACTCAAGAGGACAATTTATTGTAGGTGTACAGAAACCCATTTACTGTATAATAATGTCCTTTTCTGTAACTTTTTCAAATTAACACACGGTTAAGAATAAACGTGTAAACTAGTCTTAAGTCATTTAGAGCGCTTTAAAACTGGGCAAAATAAAAATATTGCTAAAAAAAGACTGAATGAAAATAAAGTATAATGGCTAAGAACATGATATTAGCAGGGTCAATTAGTTGGGACAAAACCATTGCAGAGTAGTTCCTCTTTGCATCGCACAACCTGGTTACACTGGGCGTTTCCACGCTTTTGAAAACTATTTTTTAAATGGCAAAAAGAACAGCGCCTTCCTCCTTCGTAACACAGCAAGGCCAATATTGACTTTTTCTGGCCTGAGACCTTGAAACATTGGCGATGTTACATCCAGTAACAGGGTTGACTCTATGAACACAGAAAGAGCTCTGGCATGATGCATCAAGTCAGTGTTAGAAAATACATTCTAAATGTTGTGCTGAATCATTTTTAATGGAAAGGTTATTGGTGACTATGTAGAGATCTACAGATTAATGTCAGCATTATTTTATCTTTATTTTGTTTTTGCAGGAATGGCATAATGTGTGCACAATGCTTACTCAAATTATTATGAGCTATGACAAATACAAAATGACACGGTTATATTACATTAATAACTACCAGTAGCACCACTTTAAACCCTGTTTGCGCAATCATTAATAGTGTAGTGTAGGTGAAATTTTCTAAAAGAATTAGCAGCTCAAAGTGAACTTTCTTCCACATCTTTATCTAAGTGAACACAAGTATTACAAAGTGTAAACTGCGATTACTGATTCATTTCTCTTCAAAATGGCCCGGGAAGTAGTACACCAGCTATTTTAACAGAGCAGGTTGAAATGCTGAACATTAGTTGAGAGAGCAGGAAATCAGAAATGTAAACATAAAATGTGATCTTGCGTTTTCATTTTTACAGCAGTAACTTCTTCTGTTGGCGATGTTTTCAACGGTAAGACTGCACTTTGACCTTTTCACTGCGTGTTCACAGGGCTGCATGTTGCTACAACCTGCTCCTCAGACAGGAGTGCTGCAGCATGTCAGAAGACAAATGAGGCTGTTCACAGTCTCAGGTCCTGAAGGCTTTATGTACAGCAGTGACATTTTTTAATTCTGTTGCCTGCAGGATTTTGTAGTTGAAAAGCTGCCTTAGGGTTAAACTATAGCGCTGTAATGAGTGACATCTGAAAATACCAAGTACTACAGTGGAACAATGCATGAGCAAGGCTCTAAAAAAACATTTTCTCCTTCCTAAGGCTCAGCATCTACTATATTGGAACTATTTCAACAATCACTATGTTGATTTCTTTGGAGTCTATGTTGTGAAGTGTGATATAGGTACCGAAATACAGTGGCATTTAGTCATAGAGTCAAGGAAGTGTACGGTGGTGTCAGGAACCGCACCCATTGTGCCCATATATACCCAAATATATACCCAAAGCAAATGCAGTTCACATGTGCAGGACAGCCAATAAACATAAACCCCCACTTTTCTGGGACTCCAAGGAAACCTCAATTCAATGAACATGTTACAAGCTGTATTGCAGGACAAAAAGTGCATTGTCAAATCCACAGAGCAGTGCATCAACTTTGGTTTCACTTAAACTGCTCGACAATCCCAAATCTGCAAGACGCACCCTGGTGAAAAACAATTATATCTGAACTTTCTGGATGAGCAGCTTCAATGTCATGTTGTGCTTAACCTTGTTAGGATTCTAGATATCAATTGTGGATATATGAACTTACTGAGAGTAAATATACTTAGAAATTGGGTTTTCTATAATTATTAAAGTTTATTATTGATATTTCTTGACTTGGATAATTTGAATTATTTTCTAATCATTGTTTTAGAACTATAAAAGGGATTTTTACAGACAAATTATGCTTTTTTACAATTTAACAGTTTAAAAACATAGTTAACTGCTCCCAATGAATATTTTTAATGTAAACTAGAATTATCGTACTTTAAAAAATACTTTGATTAGTCTGATTGAAAGCACAGTCAAATATCCTCAAATTTAAAGTAGCTCATATTTTTCTACCATGATGTTGCAACAACTGAGGAGTAAATATTTTTGTGATTTTGAGGGTTCCTTACCACCCAGCCATTAATTGAATAAAACAGTTATTTTTATTTACAAAAGAAACTAAAACTATAGAAACCTTACTATAAAAAAACTTCTTATAACTTAAGAGATTCAACTTTTTTTGTAATAGAACATTCTTCACCAACTACAAATCTACACAGAGGTCAAACTCAGTCGCTCCATTTCATTTGCTCTGCTTTGCTGCCACTTACTGGTCACTTGATAGGCTTTCATGCTTGGATTTTAAATAGGAAGCAATGGAAGTGTTGAAAACTACAAATCCCTTTTCCCTTCTATGTTTCTCTACGTTTGCTCCTAAACCTACAAATTATTTAACAGTTGCTTTACGACATTTCTAAGGTCAGCAAAAAACGACCCCATACAATAACTAAATACTGCTTTAATATTTAATACAAAATACATTTGCAACTCAGTATAAAAACCATGAAAAGAACCAACATGGAGCTAAATTTGTTCATTTGGGTAGAATGAAAAGTGTATGGTAGGGTGACCAAACGTCATCTTTTGCTCGGACATATCCACTTTTTACATCCTGTCCAGGGGGGGATTATAAATTCATGAAATGTCCGGTTTTCACTGTTTTTCATGGGACCGTAATCGTATGTTAAAATCGACTGGCACTTTACTTATTTTAGATCCTTTTTTTCTTATTCTGGAATTTGTGGCACTCCACACAAATCAGTTTCCTACAGTTTTGTCAGTGGTTGCTCATTGATACACATCTTTTACAGTTCAGAGTAACTATTAAACATACCAGATGAACAAGTATAGACAAAAAAAAGATCTATACCTATCCTTATTGTTGGTTGAGTTTGGTTGTGAGACTGTTTCATTTATTACATTAAGAGGGTATTAAGAGGTATTTTGTAGAAGCTGTATTTTCTAATACTGAAGAGGTCATATTTAGAACATTATTTCATTTATGTATTTTAAAGGGGGGCTACAATTTTGCTACTGGTTGTTACAGATTGTGTTTTACTGCCAAAGTTATTTTTGTACCACTGAGGTATGATAAAGCCTGTAAATTAACCTCTGAGAAGCCTGTCTGGCAAAGTGTCCTCCACGTGGGTCCTGTTTGTTTCCCCCTCCAAAACAACGCTAGAGGCTGCCACAACAATCATCTGTCTCATGTGATGTTTTATTTCTGACCACCGCGCCTGCGCATTAAACAGACCGTCGTTATTACCGAGTTGTATTTCCGGTGCGGCCCCAACAACAGCAGTTCGGTGTTTCAGCTGCAGAAGTCATTCGATCCTCCGGCCCCAGGAACCATGTCATCCACGGGCGTTTGGCTGCTGGTGTTCGCGGTGTGTCTGCTGCCCGGTAAGAGAGAGCAGCGCCTCCATATCTGCGTCTGTTTTTCTGCACCTGAGCAGCCGCCGTTCATCCTCCCACCATGAATAACACAGTCCCTGCGGGGAGAATTTAGCATTATTGATCAGTTTTTAAAACGTCCAGGTTTCAGATAGATGTTAGTTGCTATTTGCGTTTTAACCAGATGTATTTTTCTCTGTGTGTTTGGCTGAAGGAGACTCCAGGTTTATTATTGATCCTCTGTCAGTTATAAAACAGGAAATCTCGGTAAGCCTCTAAGTGACTAGTCTTTTCTTTTAGAAGCATTTCATACTACTACTATATACCGTTTTGTGAAACACTGACACGTCTTCTTTGTGTGTTAATGACCTGATTGCTGTAAATGTGTCTGGATTGTCCAACACTGGCTTCTCCATACCAGGCAGTGGACCTCTGTCCAGAATGCAGCCAGATCCTCCGCCTGTCCGCCAACATGATTTCCAGCAGTGACGCCAAGGTCAGAGGATAAATACACTGTTATTCCTTTAGTGAATAGCTGGGTCAGTGTGTTACGCAAAACATGCCACCATATCTCACCTGATTTGTAAATGTCTCAAAGATACATTTATGAGAGCTCTTTGTCTTTTCTGAATAAATCTCAAGTTAGAGATAATGTCCGTGTTTGGAAGCTATAGGATCGGAGCTTTATCAGAGTAAACATCTTGGGCTGCAAGACTGTTTGCATGTTTCCCTGAAAAATGCCCCGCCACAAAAAAAAGGAAGCCCACCTCTGTCCTCTCACAGGCCACGGTGTACGAGACCCTGCATGCTTTGTGCCGACGCCTCCCAGGAGAGCAGTCCACAGAGTGCGATTTGCAAGTGAAGAGCTTCCTGCCCAAAGTCCTGCAGCAAGCGCCGGGCCACCTGGTGAGGGTTGCTTCTATTTAGGCCACTGAATGACTATAAAAATCCAAAGCTTTTATTTTACCGATTATATGCGTCTTTGCAGAAACCGGAGGAGCTGTGCATGGTTTTTGGACTTTGCTCTTCCCACAAAGAGGAGAAACCACACAAGCTCCCACAGAGCTTCACCGATACGGAAATATCCACTTCTGTTGGTGGAGCCGTCCAAAACCAGGTCAGCCTGAGAAACAAGAAGTGGAGCCTGCAATTCACAGCTGAAGTGAAACTTTGATTTGCTTTGAATTGATCAGATGATTGTCACAGGAAATGTATTGGTTTAGCCCTTTTCGGGTACGAGATAATTCAATGTGCTTTGTAACCAATTCTGCTCTTCAGGAGCTGTTCAGCCCCGTTTGCACCCTTTGTTTGTTCTTTATCAAGAAGCTGGAGACCCTGCTGCCCAAAAACATGACCCAGGTGATTTTCTTTCTTTCTTTGCATCCCTCTGGATACACATACCAGCACCCACCTTCATGTAAAAGTCACTCTTCTCCCTCTTGCCCCACAGGACAAAATAAAGAAGGTCATGGAGGAGTTCTGTGATCTTGTACCTAAAAGCTATCAGGAGCAGTGTGATGACTTTGTGGAGAAATATGGCGCGGATATTGTGGAATTCCTGGTCTCATCAGCTGCCCCCCACACGATTTGCATGCTTCTGCACCTCTGTTTGTTTGATGAGCAGCCCGTTCCAGGTTAGTTCAACGTGTATTTCAGGGGAATATTTGAGAAAATACTTTTTCTACAGTACGGATAATTGATGGAATTTAAAATTAAACTTTCAAATGAACTGATTTAAGTTCAATTATTTGATCTTTTTTGTTTGTAAAGCATCCATCACAGTAAATCAAAGCTGTAACCCCCCCCAAAAAAGAAAGAAAGACATGACAATCTGACATAAATGTTTTGATGTATCAAAAGCAGATTCGGATTATGGACTTAAAACTCTTATTTCATGAGTTTATTTTCTGTAGCTGTATTACATTTTGCCTTATAACTGCGGCCGTCAGTCGGAAACAAATTATTCTTTTCAAGTAAAAACTTAACCATCATCCTGATTAATCAGAATGTGATTTCGTTGAATGCTTTGTCTGCCGAGTACCGAGAAAAACCACCAAATAGCCTTTGAATTTTTTGTTTCCACAACGGCGAAAGGGAAGTGAGAAACAGTAGGGGATGCGTTCACGGGCCAGTGCCCCACTCTTCAGGTTGTCAGAGAGATCAGTTGATACGTGGGGCTGCTTCCCGTGTTCAGCGCTCCTCTTACTGTGCCGCCCGCGTTCCGCTCAGCTGCTGGGAAACATGTCGGGGGTCACCGGCTAACCCTGATCTACAAACTGTGCTGACTTCACAGAGGTGACCGCTCCCTCGGACTGCGACTCGTGCCGGACGCTGGCCGCTTTGAGCCGCGTGCACCTGGGACTCAACGCGACTGGCTCTCAGACGTCGGCTTTCCTCCAGTCTGTGTGCATCCACCACCCTAAGGCCATCCCCAAGGTGGGCCTCCCAGCTCCCGTAGAGGAATGTCCGATTTAAAACAAACAAACTATATGTTCTTACGCTTTAACTCCATTTTCACCATTTCGTATTTTTCTGTTTCCTCATAGCTAATCAATTTCAGTGACCTGCTTGCTTGCTACTTTTAGGTTTATGAGGTAATCTGAATTATTACTATCATTGTTTTTTCAGTGCAATGCCTTCACCAGAACCTACGGGTCTCAGCTGCAGAGCGTTTTGGGAAACCAGATGAAAGATCCTCATGTTTGCGAAGTAAGAATGAGCTCAAGTCAAACACAGTGTATTTCTTTCAATTGAGAATGGTTGTTTTCCTCAGTGTTCAGGACTTATTGCTGCTCTACAAGTGCATTCCTTTGAATTAAGTTGTCACGCAGACAGCGGACAACTCTTAATTATCAGCACAAGACGATCTCATGGTTTAAATAAGAACAGTGGCATACATTTTGACATGTATTTCACGGGTAACTTCATGTAAAAACAATATGGAAAGATGTCCATAGAGCACCAGTGAGGAGCACTGGGCTCTAGCTGGTGGGGTTCATGTTCTCAGGATCTTTTTGTGCCCCGTGTCCTGCAGACAGCAGATCTGTGCAGTTCTACAAAGGAGCTGGAGCCGTTTGGAAACAACCCTTGTGCTCGGGGCCCCAGCTACTGGTGCAAAACCATAAAAACCGCTCAGAAGTGTGGGGTAGGAGAAATTTTCATTTAATGCCTACAGTAAAGAGCCTAATTTTCCTCTGATGGAAAAAAAGCTGAAAAACATGCAGATTGTTTCCAAGTAAGTATTGGTGCAACAGAAAAAATACCTAATCTGCATACAACGAAAGCAGCGGTCAGATTCTTTTCTTGTGCTCTGAAATGCAGAACTTCTTTAAACAGTAGTGTGATTCCATGCCATTTGTTTCACATCCCTTTCTCTGTTTCTTTGAACAGAATCAGGTCTTCTGTGAGAAACACATCTGGAAGAACTAAAGAAGACATCTGCTGCAGCTCTGAGACGGCGTGCACTCAGCTAATTCATCACCGGTTCAGTTTCTGAAATGTAATGCACTGACCTTTGTTTTGGTTTTTGTGTAGTTTCGTTAATCATGGGTCATGTCATGTCAATACACCAGGCATTAATGTTTAGAAATAAGTCAGGTGACTGAGGCTGGGATTCAGTCTGTGTTTCTCTACATGTAGCTGTATCTGTTGCTATGAATGTTAAGACAAAATAGTGCTCTTTGCCATAAAAAAAAAAGCTTGAAATGTATCCTACCTGCAACTGGAGTGAGTGACCCCTTCCACATATCACATGTGTTATCTTCTGATTTTGCTTTGTAATAATTACTTGTGTCTATAAAGCTCTGGGGGTTAAATTAAGAGGTTTGCTGTAGACAAAGACATGTGTTTGCACGGGTTTATTTAGAAACCTTCATTTGGTAAAAAGATCAAACTGCTGAACTAAACAAACAAACATGGTAAATGTTGACATTTCTTTGCCTCTTGTAGCTCCCTAGAATGCCCCCCTCCTCCTAATCCTTTAAATAGTTCGTTTAGTTCCAAAAGCGGTACTCTTCTGACCGACAGGGAGAAGTATCCCGCCTCACTTATGCCCCTGTGTGGTTGTTTGTGTCATCACTCTCTTGTCTCTTCCAGATCTGTGAAGAATGAAGAGATGTATTATTAGCAAATCTCTGAGAATGTGCTGGATTTATGATAGATCATCACACAAGTTCAAACTTTAATGAAATATTGTCTTTGGAAATGCTGACTAATCAATTATTTCTGATTAATTAATCATTAAATCATCCCAATTAATTAAGATACTTTTTTTTGCTTTATACCACCTAATATATGTTCTGTTAGGATGGCCCTTGTGTTATTAGCGCTCTCACTTCCTGTTGCTGATATCCATTGAGAAAGAGGGCTTTATCTACTTGAAATCCCAGCTGATATGAAGCTCTTATCACAACAGCATTCAAGATAAAGATAAAAAAGCACCTAAATAAGAAAACATTTGTTCTAATGATGGGTAAATGCAACCAATCTGAAACTACTCTAGTGCATGAAAACAAGATACAGTTCATAAGAGCTGTAGAAGATTTGGTCTAAATGTTCTAATAATTCAGTCTTCCATGTATGTTGAGACCACAGATGTCCGGTGTCACAGTCGTCCCCGTTACTGTAGCCTACCAGAACCACTGAGTCATCCCTGTGTGGTTTCCATCTGCTCATATTTTCCAACACAAACTCAACCGAGCATTGCACTGGGATTACCTGGATGTAGGCCTCCGACAGTGTGATCATCTGGGGTAGAATGTCAATCACCTGCAGGTCTTGCATCTCGTACCACTTCCCTGTTCCCTGTTAAAACAAAGCATGTCTTCATGATTAACATATAAAACAATACTTCTTTCACGTTGAGCCTAAATAACAATTCCAATATAATCGAAGAATCCTTTCACTGGACCTTATAATGGCTGTGACGTGAGTGGTTTTGAGAGTATGAAATAAAAGGCATTTCGTTTGGGCACAGGCAGGTTCAGAATCAACACTACGCAAGATTCCTGCACAGATGAACGTGTCTAAATGAAGTCATCAGTAAAACAAACATTTAGTGGGTAGGGATCTGCTGAAAGGGGAGATGGGAGTGAAACAAAGCTGTGCAAGCAGACATCGAGAGAACAATGAAACTCTCTGCTGTCTTTAAAGACTCAGTGTGACTCAAAACTACAACAAAGAATATTTTTAAGAGACTGGCACACAGAGGCTGTGGCTGGCTGAGCTGTAAGTTTGAATATAAAGTTCCTACATGCACTACGTTCTTTAACAGGTCTGCCTAGGTCAATCAAACAAGAAATAAAATCCAAATTCCTCTGAATAAGAACAACTTATCAGCATGTATTCTTCTGCTTCATGCAAAAGCAAGCATTTCCTCACAGACTTCTGATAACCGAATTACACAGCAAATTTTCCTATGCTGACCATTTCCATCCTCTCCTCAACAGAAAACCACTTTCAGAGATCTTCAGACAGATATATTTCTCATTTGTTTGTTTTTTTTGCTTTTAAAATGAAGGAATTTTCTTTTTATTCCATGAAAAAGAGAGACATGTGGCTTCAGCTTACATGATGAAGAACGTGTATTCTGTATGCCCCCTCTGTGGGTTTCCCATCATGCACCACGTTTGCAACAAGGTCATAAGTCGTGTTCTTCTCTGTGGCTTGAGCTTCTTCTGTCAGGTACTCACGAAGGTCTACATTCCTGTTAAAGACGACATGACACAAAAGAGGTAATGCACTGACGACTAAAGACACATGAAGCACCAAATAAAGCAGCCGCAAGCCTGTTTTTAGGCGTCATTTTCATTTTGGAGCACTTGCAGAGCCATGAGTTTTGCCTGTAAAAAGTCCACAGAACATGCATTAATCTAGAGGTTGCTTGAAATGTGCTTACGTGATGGGAAAGTTGACAATGGTGGGGTTCTTCTCCACAAAGAAGTTGTTCTTGGTGAATCTTTTGATGCAAAAGATGAGGTAAGGAGGCAGTTTGGTCAACTGGAACCTTTTGAGAAAATTTTCTTTGTAGGTTTTGTACTCCTGAATGCACAAAAAGATATCAACATTAATAGAGTTGTAGCAGCAGCATCAATCTAGGGCCTCACACACCTTTCCTGGGCTTTGCATGACATCTCGGTGCATTCATTACAGGTTTAGTGCTAAGTGACAAAGATTACTTTCTTTACTTGGTTTTTCTGAAGATTTCCATACCTTCTCTGTGTTGCCATTGAACTTGCCCAGGATGTTGAAGAGGGGGACCTGTGGGATAATCAGCTGCTCCTTCTCATCCTTGTACAAGGGAGCCGTTGGTAGGTCAAGGGTCAGAAACAGGAAGGTGGATTCGGACATTTGCTCCAGGTACTCCTCGGTCCCGAGCAGCGCTTCTTTTTCTTCAGGTGTCTGGAGAGATAAATCGAGTTGATTTTTAAGGGAAAAAAAATCATATTCCTCAAGATATAATACAACATCACATACATTTACGGTTAAAATCTGTAATATTATTTACAATGAATTGTTACAAAGAATCAACTTTTTTTTTCTACATAATTTATTGTGATACAGTGCACTTTGAGCACAACTTTGAAAAATAAAAAAAAGATCTATTCAGACCGAGAATTTCATGAAAAACAAAGCAAACATTAATGAATATCAAAACCAAAGAAAAAAGTAGATGACATCCCACATCAAATGTCTTTAAAAGTTACATTCAGACGCAAAGTTAATCAACAAATTCTACTCAAATTGCATCACGAGGACAGTGACATTGAGAAAAGATTTATCAATGAATACAAAATTTGTCAAAGTGTCAAAATAAAAATCATAGTAAGTGCAGGAAACTCACTAAATCTGGATGTGGAAGTTTCTTGGAGAAGATTCGCATGGAGCCTTGAAATGCTTGTGTAATGATTGCTGTAAGAGAAGAGCAAGCTTCAGTGTAACAGTGACAGCAGTGTAGTACTCCACGTAAAAGTGTGAATTAAAAAACAAATTCTTTAAGGAAACAAACTGAAGATGTCACTTTTCTCTCACTTACATGGCTTCTTCTTTGTTCCTCCAAGAGCACCGTGTAGAGCATTTAAGAACCATGTCATAAAGTCTACAGCGTCCCCTGTAGATCAGAAAATAATAGATCAGTCACGTGTCCAAACAGCCTCTTTGAGATAGTGAGTACCGTTTAGGCCCTGTGAAGACTTACCTTGCTTGGTAATTTGGAAGTTCTTCTTGCTGCACAACACCACAGCCTGCAGCATCTCATGGGGAGACACGTGAGCCTTGAAGTTTCTCGGGTTCCAAAGTTTGCGCATCAGCTCGCCAAACCTCTGTACCAGGAGAAACATGATGTCCCCTGGCGGCCTGCGGATGCCTCTGTAGTTTTCCTCTTCCAGGAAGTAGTTTCGCAAAGGAGGGACATTAGAAAAAGCCTGGACAGAGCAGGCAACTATTAATAATCTGATTTTATTTGGCCTTGGGTCAAAGTCACAAGAAAAAGATCCAGAATTGTAATACCTGTAGTACCACATTGGCATAGTCATTGGCTTTGATGTTGTTGAGGCCCACAATGCCTGGGAGGTAAGTTGTTCCATCATAAGCTCTGTACAGTTTACCCTGCTTGTCAAGTCCTGAAATGTGCTGCTTGGTGAAAGTGGGCTTCAGCACATACTGGAGAGGAAGAGGTGTTAAGAATTACACATAAACGTAAACCTCAGGATAAAATGTTGCCTGGAAAGAATAAGTTAATGTCTTAAATCACCTGTATGGTAAAGTAAATCTATTCATTTTTTCTTTTAAATGTCTGCTAGTGGTGTTTGATTTTTAAGATATTGTTTGGGCTAATGCTCAATGCCAGATAATTTTGGGAGAGCAGGAAAGTGGTAAGAAATGTTCAGATTTAGTCTAAGTAATATGTGATAGATGGAATGGGATCTAATGAGTTGATACTTGACTGGCTCAAAGATAGGGTTTAAATGGAGGGTACTACCACTCAGAACTATTTTTGATCTAACTATTTTCTTGATCTTGAGATATATTGTGTAAAATTAATTATACCAGGATGTCTTTACCCACCGTGATGTCTTCCAGTGATGAATCAATAATTTCATAATTATCTGGTAGACAGTAAAATTTGAGTGTGTGCAGGTTGAGGAACACATGATGAGTAAACTGTACACTGTGAGTGTATGCGTGAGACTTCAGTCCTCTGCCTGCAAAAAAAGAAAAAAACACGACTCAGATCAGGTCTAAAGTGTTTGATACATTTGACCAATGTGTGTAAATGTTTGTATACCTTGAAAATACTTTCCACAAATCAGACAGGCATAAACATTAATGTGGGAAAGAGAGATGGAACAGAGCTTCTCAAAATCAAAGTCCAGCACACTCCTGGAAGAGGACAAATACATGTGTTTGTTAGGGAAGGACAGGACACAAGGCTAGCTAACATTGCCTGCTAGCATTAGCATTACACATTCAATTCAGTCTCGCCTGTTTATTGTGTCCAGATAAGGACAGTGACGACTTCTTCGGTCTTCTACGACACGTCCTCGTACTTTTTTAGGGGTCACTGCAACAAGTAAAGATTAATGACAGTAAAAAAAACTGGAAATGGTGAGGGTGCATGTCAACTAGCCAAACATGCTAGCAAAACTAACATTTATGGTGGTAAGGGATGGTTGTATTCGTGCATTTAAGGGGAGTTGATGGGGATGTCATTCAACCCACAAACTTAATTTCACTGAAACGTTCTTTAAATAAAACCAAACATTCAAGTAGCAACTTTACAGGGCAGGCTAACCTAACGCAAGACTGACGTTAGAGAAAAAATACCGTACCTCCATTTTCGTTATCATCATCGTCGTCGTCGTCGTCCAACTCAACCTCTCTTTCTCGCTTCAGAGAAATGATTGCAGTCATTGTCTTGTTTTATTGATGTAAAAACAATACAGAGGAAGGACAAAAGTTGAAATTATTCGGGGGATATGAATGCCTCAGCAAGGCTCCCTCGAAAATCGCGGCGGTTGTGCGTCGTAGAAATTAAAGGGCCAGACTAAAAACTAACTCGGAGTTTGACAATCAGTTTTTACAACATATTGGATCCTGATAAACAAAATATCAAAATACGATATTTATTATGTAGTTATTTTAGTAAATATATATATATAATCTATACGCATGTTTTGATGTCTTTGGGGGGTTTGATTAGTTTTGAATTTGACTAAACTCCGGGAAAGTTATAATTGGACTACACTTTATCATGAGATACCTAATTAGCTTTTTGTCAGTGTTCTCTATGGGACTTGTTGGATTTATTTGTCTATGAATACAGTCTCTGAGTTTAAAGTAGTACCCGAAATGGATATTTTGAAGGATGATGAAGCGAATGAGCTAAAATGCAAACCTGGAGGCCGGTTGGACATGAGCCACGGCTTCCTGCACCATATCCGGAGGAACCAGATTGCTAGGTGAACTCCTCGACCACTGCTAGCTAATGCTATTAGGTGGTGTAACAGAATAGTGGGTTGAAAACAATAACCACAAAACCAAAACATCGTGTCACTTGTTCATTAAATAGAGACGAAAGTTTAACGAAATGCAATGAGCGGCATTAAAAAAATAAAAAATAAATACTTGCATGCATGTAAAATACAAAACATAATAGTGTCTCAAAGGCCTGTTGGTTTAAAATAGCCTTGTTGTACGATAATGTGGCACAACGTATAGAAAAAACGATTAGATTTAGCTAATTATGTTTAGATACATGGGATATTATACAGGGGAAAAAATATGCTGTGTTTTTGTAAACTCGGCCTGATAGTTTCTCGGGTTTTGTTACCTTTTACTGTTTTATGATTATAACAGATTGTCATCATAACGTTGCGAATACTTAACATACGACAGGCTTTTTTTATTTACATTAAGAAACTATTCTTTTAATAGTTTAGAAGTACAATTGCTTTTTAAAATATTTTATTTCCATATAGATAAAATTAGCAAACAACTTGAGTTTGGTCGACTAGGATTTCAATAACAGCTTTCATTTCATTACCACCTCTGTCTTTACAAAAAATAAAGGTAAATGTTAAAAGTAACATCAATGTTGTCTTTTCAAGAGATGATTATGATAAAGAGGTCAAGCAAGCCAAAGAGCTTCAGCGGCGGAGGCACACCACAACCCCAAGAAAACCTCGTCGCCCAGACATCCAAGTGTACCACCCTCGACAAAGACGTAAGCCACATGATTATTTCAAGGTTTCATCTGAGAGTTACATCCACTTTAAGAAATATTTGCGTCTTCTAATCTCCAGATGGTTCTGAGCCAGGGGCTGGTGCTGATGCTGAAGAGTCTAATGAGAGTGAATCAAGCTCAGAGACCGAAATCCATGGGACTGAACTCTTCTGGCTTGACTATCAGGCAGACTCTGGGGCAATTACATCATTGCTTGTTCACAAGGTTAACTGACATTTCAGTATTCCATGGTTATGTGTCTGATATTTAGGACAGTCTTAACTCCCCTCTCGTTTTCTTTCGTAAAGGAGGATAAACCTGGGAAGGTGGTTGAACGTGTCGCAGAGAAGAACATACTGGATGCAGCCATGAGGGCAGCTCTAGAGGTTCGAATTAAAAAAGAAATTGACAAAAGACGAGACAAAAGCTGAATTATGTACTCAACCAGCTGATCATAACGACACAGTGGCTGCACGCGCAGAAGAGCAATGCTGCATTTTTCAGTACTGCGCTCCTCCAAAACGTTGACACAGTTGTGTGTTTTGGAGATGAAGAGCCCGGTGCTGTCCTGTACAGTGACTGAGGACTGAGAGATGAACTACAACTAAGCCATTTTTTGCTTTTAAAACCTACGTTTTTTCATTTCACTCTGGTTTTTCCTCACCCTGGACTACAATGTGATATCCCAGGTCACACCACTGGAGGGCCACTGTACAAGTTCAGTTTTAGTGGACATGTTGTTGCTTTGTGTTAGATTCTGAGGGACCTTTTTGACAAAAAGCCCAAGAAACCTTTTCTTTGCTCAACTGGTTACATCCTCTGGTTCATTTGTTTACAAAGTTTTTAATTTTTATATAAAAAAAGATTTTTTTAAAAATGAAATGCTGTAATTAAAAAAATATAACAATGATATGTTTAGAAAAACGAGGTTTTCTTTAGCAGATGAAGCCATAGTATGTTCATGTGACAACTGTGTTTTATATTTTTCAGTATTTGTATTTATTTTGAGTCGTTAAGAGGCATTTATTTTTGATACTGTAAAATTGTTTGAAAGAAAAGGTTTCCACATAAAATGATATCGAAGCAAGCAAACCAGTTGCAGCTGGATGTGGCTTTATAAAAACATTTTCAGTTTTTCTGATGGTCTTGGTGTTACGTACGTACGTATGTATGTATGTATGTATGTATGTATGTATGTATGTATGTATGTA